ACCAGCGGTGTCCCACAGCTGCAGCTTGATCTGTGTGCCATCCTTCATCTCGATGAGGCGGGCGAAGAAGTCAACGCCAACTGTGGGGTCGGACAGCTGGAAAAAGTGTGAAAACATTATATCATCTGAATTATTTTTTAATTTATTTATTTATGTACCATTAAATTTGGTATTTCCTAAAATCCTAAATATTAAAATATTAAAATAGCTGCAAATGTACAATAACATGAATAAGCTAAATAAATGAATCACAAATATTATCAATTTAAAATTAATTCTAAATAGATTGTAGACATATGTTTATAATCGTTACAGTTCCTTTAAAAGCAAAACTTAAATATATCAACTTTTGCGCAAATGTACTTAATATTTTTTTTTAAAACAGATAATCTCTTCTGTAATCCCCTTACATATCACCTTAAACATATAACTTAAATTTTCCAAACTTGTTTTTGATATCTCCTTAAATTTTAAATATCCCGCCCCAATTTTATGCAGCCCTGGTCCTTTTTAAAGCCTTGCGTGTTGTTGTTGCTGGCTGCATTATCAGGCGAGCACACACAGTCATAGCTTACACACACATGCATGTGACTAAGACAGCATCTCGAAAATAAAATCCACTCCCTTTGTCTGTTTATTGTTGTTTGCAATTACTTAATTATGTAATAAACGCATTAAATGCATCACAAGGAGATCGCACAATGGGCACACGCATACGCACTGTGGTCAAAATGAACGAAATACGCACCTCGGCGAACTTGCCGTCTGTGAAGAACTTTAAAAGCGAACTTTTACCCACGGTGCTGTCGCCGATTAAAATCAGTCGAAATTGGTACTCGAATATGGGTTCCACCATTTCGAAGGCGTTTTTGTGAATTTACGGCTGTTAATCCGCTATATTTCAACGTCCCTTTCGCAAAAGATTGAGACGCAAATCGCTGGTTCGCCTTTTACTGCTAATTTTTCCCTGCTTTACTCCAGCAGAACGTAGTTTTGTGTATTCCGCTCGATTTCTGGCTTTGCGATGCGTGTTTTTCGATTAATTATAAATTATAAATATTCGAGAATTCAGCTGCCACTGACTTTTGTTTTGTTTTGTGTTTTTTTTTCTAATGCGCAAACCTGGGCTTGTGTGCGTGCGCCCGTGTGTGTGATAAAAGCGTCGTTGCCGGATAGCAGAAAAATTTATCGATAGCACAAACAGTTGAATAATCGAAATAGCCAAGTTGCAAATTAGATAAATTCTTTCTTAATACTTTTAAATTAAAAACAATAATTAATTTCAAATGTAATCCGGAATGCAATGGGTCGACAAGTATGGTTTTCGACTTTTAGAAAAACTAAACCAATTTAAAAATGTAATTCGATGAGTCAATTTATGAGAAGTGAATGAAGTAATTTATTTTATTTTGTTTCCTAAATATCCTGTTACAAATGGTTTTTACTACCTGAGTTCTTTCAGCTGCACATTAAAAGTTCCAGTTTCTCGTCCATAAATTGTTCCTGTTAAAAACCTACTTATTTTAGCTAAATAGCTAGATTTAGCTCGAAAACGGTTACCGGGTCATGGCAGCGCCTGCGCCGATCCGGCTACGCCGCCCAACTGTCACTCTGACAGCTGTTCGATTGTATATATATTTGTACGCATTGTATTTTCTTTTTACGTTTGTTTTCCGTGGAAATTGTCGGTATTTCGTACAGCACACAAATGTACAAACAATTCGCCGGACTTCTGGAAGCAGCAACGAAAATCAAAAGCATTTTGTCATTAACTGACAGCCGGAGTCCGTAATTTAGCCGCTACGGTATACGGAATCCACCTCGTTCTCCGCCATCTCCTCCGCCTCCGCCTCCTCCTCCCCCGATTCGGTTACGGAACCAATAATATTACCGTTAATTATAGCAACAGCGGGGCGAGAGCATATAGAAATTGCCATATAGATGTTTAAGTTCGTGCTGAACGACGCCACTAACTACGTGCGCTCCAATGTGCGGGATTTCAGTCTGAATGCACTGCGATTTCTGCCGCAACTGCCCCAATTGAGCCCATACGATGTAAGATCTGGGATCGGTAATTACCTATGGATATACCCTATACAGCATCTCTGTCAATAACCCTTATTAATTGCCAGAATTAAGTTCCTACTTTAAAACTTTTGAGATATCAACTCTTTTATTGACCCCCGTTAAGTTTAGATTTGGGATCAGTTAAACCCTATAAATAGCACCATTAATTTGAAGAACACAACCCTTACAATGTTAAATCTGGAATCTTAGATAACGCAATTAATTCCTTAAATAAGTCCATACAATGTCAGATCTGTGGGATCTGTAATATCCTATAACATTTTTGGAATACCTCTCTAACCAATCTAAGATCTTTGTTTAGTAATACTCAATAGATAGCATTTTTGTTGGAATATGATCCAAAACCACGACTTCCATTTCCCTTAAATTCAATGTCATTCAGATTATTTGATAAAAGATCGCAATTAAATAAACATGACATCAGTAATAGCCTTTGCAAAAACCCAAAGATTCTGTGCTAATCACAACTTTACCCCGCAGGTAAACCTAGTTCTAAGGGAGAACGAGTTCGTCTACAACTTCCCCGTGGAGGGTGTCATCCGGAGCTATGAAACGAATCAGCTGGGATCCAATTCGCCCTGTGAGGATTCCCGCACGGAGGCCAGTCTGCTGTACCGCAACGGCTTCATTTGTGGCATTTTCGACGGCCATGCCGGTGCCGCCTGTGGCCAAGTGGTGTCCAAGCGTCTGCTTCGCTATGTATCAGCGGCCACCTTGCCGCGCCAGGTGCTCCGGGAGCAGATGAAGCAGGGTTGCAACAGCCAGTCGTTTCTCAAGTGCCACAACGACAATGTGGACTTTGTCAGCGAGATCAAGCCGATCTACGAGGCCAGTTTCAGCAAGTACATCAAACAGTTGGCCAAGACGCCGCAACGGGATGTCGCCAGCGAGCTGGTGAACGCATTTCTCCAGCTGGACGAGGGTCTGTCCCAGGAGGCGTTGGCCACCAGCGATGTGCGCACCATGAGTGTCGCACTTTCCGGTGGGTGTTGCACTTAAGTACCTACCTATAACATGGCTAAGCTGGTTGTAAACGATGCAGCGTTTTCAACAAGCACTATGAACCTATGTAGTAGCTTACATAGTTAAAAAAAAAAAAAAACAATCTTGTAACTCTAGACCAATCGCTTGTGCAATGGCATTTGTAAATCCAAAACCAATAGACAAAACAATCAAGAAATCGTTTTTAATTGTTTACCTTATTTTTCTATATTATTTACCAACTATATAGATTTACAAACTTCTGTTTATAATGTGTAAACAATAGGATTCTATCAAATTGTAAAGTTTGTTTGGCCACTCTCCTAATGACTCATTTGATTCATTTCAAATGTACTTGTATATAGAATAATAATAATAATTATTTACAAAAATACAATAATTTGTCTTTCAGGAGCCGTTGCCTGTTTGGTGCACATCGAGGGACTGCAACTGCACGTGGCCAGCACCGGTGACTGCGGCGCCGTGTTGGGCGTGCTCGATCCAAAGACACAGCAGTGGCAGCCAAAGAAGCTCAACATCGAGCACAATGCGGACAACATGACGGAGGTGGACCGCATCCTGGCCGAGCATCCCAAGGAGGAGCACGACACGGTCATCCGGATGGGCAGGCTGCTGAGCACGTTGGCGCCGTTGCGTGCCTTCGGCGACTTTCGCTACAAGTGGTCCCTGGACATAATGGAGCGAAAGGTGCTGCCAATGTTTGGCAAGCAGGCAATGGCGCCGAATTACTATACGCCACCGTACCTAACCGCCCGTCCCGATGTGCAGCAGCACGAATTGGGGCCCAACGACAAGTTTCTAGTCATCGCCAGCGACGGCCTGTGGGAATTTCTCTCGCCCAGCGAGGTGGTCAGCCTGGTGGGGGAGCACATCAACTCCAAGAAGATCCTGGAACCGATGCGCCTGCCCGAGGGCGACATAACGCTGCAGCAGATCTCCGATCAGCTGGCCGAGCGCAAGTCAGTAAAGGCAATTGGCTCAATCCTAAAGCTAAAAACTAAATCAGATATTGCTATTGTTTCAGAGCTGGATTAACCCGCAAGCCGGTGGACCAGAACGCGGCCACCCATCTCATCCGGCATGCTTTGGGCGCCACCGACTATGGGATCGAGCACTCGAAGATCTCGTACTATTTGACGCTGCCCAGCGATGTGGTGCGTCAGTTTCGCGACGACATCACCATCACCGTCATCTACTTCAACTCGGAGCACATTGCCCAGCTGCAGAGCGAGACGGATCAAGCGGATAAACCGGGGGTCACTGCGCCGGTAGCGTGATCTCCATAATCTTCGTGAGAATATGTGTATATTTTAACGAGCCTAACCTTCAGCCTAACTAGCCTAAGTGTTGCGTTTAAGTTTGTTTCATCCGCCAATCGGACCTCGGACGACTGCCGCGCCAAATAAATCCCACGCGGAAAGCGAAAACTAAAAATCACATATGCAAATTGTCTTCTTAATGCAGAGCAGGGAGATCAGCTTTAGTTGCAATTCATAAATAAGCTCTGACCTACTGAAATTCCATAAGAATGCAGGTCACGTCAAGTTAGATCCAATATTCACAAGTAGTTTCTTCACTTATTTATTTTCAAATAATTATTGATATTGTAAAGTAGCTGATAATTGTTTTAAAACAACCTTATCCTTATTGTTTGGTGGTTTAAAATTATGCAAACAATTTGCAATTTATAAACTCTATTTCATGTTAAAACTTCTTATGCTATTCTATATTATGTTAATTTTTTCTGGTTTTAAACGTATTTGATTTTTACTTTGGATTGCAAAAGGGTTTAACTACAAATATCCTAAGATTAGGAGCTAATTTTAGCTCGGAGCTGCAACCGAGTTAGCCGTCTTAAAGAATTCAAAATTGTACACTTTCTTGCCGTAATCCCCCAAATCGTATTATCATTTTCGAGAATCGATTTATTATACACTTAAATTCAATTACAATTTTTTATATAACGCTGGGTTATATATATATATATATGTGTATTTATATATATATGTGTACATGCGATTTGCTGTTGATTGTGGGTGGTAAGGGTAAAGCTAACTGAAGAACACGGAAGCCGCGAACTTGCAAACTGGTAAACGGTACGACTCCTAAATCCTATACATGGAAAAAACTAAGCAACTACTCGGGGATCGCGGGGGGATTGTGTGTGTGTGTGTGTTGGGGGGGGAGGGGAAGGTTCATCAGAGGATTAGCAAGGATGTTTCTAGTCCTTGCCATCCTGCTCGGCCACCTCCTGCCGACTGACGCAATTGAGGAACTCCATCTGAATGTGCGTGATCTGCGTCTTGCTGAAGCACTGCATCTTCTTCTTGAGGAAGTCAAAGAACAGATCGAGCTCATCACGTTTGGCCAGCGCCTGGGCCACTTGATGCTGCTGATGCAGCTCGTCCTCCTTGACAAGATTGTTGGAGCTGCTGGCCGCCGCACTGACGGCCAATGGCTGGCCGGATCCAGATCCCGATCCGGATCCCGATCCGCAACTCAGGGACGGCAACTGAAGGATCGTGGCCGTTGGCGTGGATGTGAAGGATGTGGTGTTGCATAGTGCCGCTGCCGGTGTGGTGGTCACCGTGGCGGCATTCAGCGAAATCGCCGGCGTGCTGGAAATCGTCACACTGGTACTGGTGGCCTCGGTCACATCCACCAGAGAAATCTGCTGCGTTGCAGACACCGAGGAATCGTGACGATTGGATGATGGTCCACCGCCTCCTCCGGACGCCGCAGTGGCCGTGGTGGTGACCAGCGTGAGATTCTTGAGCTTGCCATCGGCCACCACAGTGCCGCCGGCGAGGACACTATTCGAGGCATTGCCCGATCCGCCGCTGCTCGAAAACTGATGCTGAGTGGAGCGAACCGTTTGCGGCTCAATGTCCGATATGCAAAAGTCATGCGCATCGATGTAGTGGAAGTCCTTGCCGTGGGTGACATCGCTGCCGCCATCTACGGCATCGCCCACGCCCATTTCGCAATCCACATGGGCACCGCTGGCCTCCTCGTACAGGCAGACCTCCTCGTAGTCCACCTCGGCGCCGGTGGCACCGTCCTCGTCCAGTTCATGCTTCACAATGTCCACCTGGCCATCGTGATCGACGACATCGTCGTCGTCGTCCACATCGTCGACCACATCATCATCGTGGGCAATCTGGGAGAGTTCAATGCTGGAGATGCTGCCATCGTGCTGCGACTGATGATGATGATGGTGATGATGGTGGTGCGGCTGGTGGTGGTGATGCTGCTGCTGCTGCTGGTGGTGTTGGTGGTGATGGTGGCCATGATGATGGTGATGATGGTGCTGCGAGACAGTGTCATCCGAAACGCCCTCCTCGTAGGCGGTCAGGATGAAGGTCTCCGCCTCGTCGCTGACCAATGTGATCTGCGAGGTGCCGTGATGTGAGGATAGCGTGCCCGTATCGTGATCCGATTGCCCATCATCGTCCACCATCTCATCATCGTCGTCGTCCACATGCTGCTTCAGATGCAGCATCGAACCAATGGGCAAACTGTTGCTATTACCGCCTCCCACGCCGCCGCCTCCACTGCCTCCACCTGCTCCTGCTCCTGCTCCTCCTCCTCCTCCTCCACCGTTCGCCTCATAGCCACTCTGGGTGTTCCGGTGGGACTTTAGCTTGGGCTGGTACACCGTCGACAGGAAGTCCAGCTCCTTGGCGTAGCGCCACTTGGACAGTCGGCCCTCGATGTACTTGGGCGTGCGCAGGCGGTACTGGTGGAACGTGTCCCGCAGGTTCTTCCACTTGCGCCGCACCTCCTGCACCGTGTACTTGTCTGGAATGTCGGAAATATGAGAATTAACAGGCGGTTTATTTCGAATCGCGTCGATTTCAAACTTATTTGAAATACTAGAATGTAACGAGATCAGATTTATAAATATTTGTATGAAGGAGAATTGGAATGGGAATTAGTGTGAGATTTCACATTTGATCATAAATAACTGTTTCCATTTACTAGATTGATAAATATTTATAAATCATTTTTGTTATTCGGAATAGTATGTTTAATAGATATTATATTATTATTATTGTGAAAATGGGTTTGCCTTTTAGTTTTTGAACCTTTAACTTTTTCAAACTGTAATAAATTCCTATTGATTTTTATAATTTTTAGGTAGAATTTTCCAATATATATAGTTCGATCTAATGAACAAATAGGAAAAGTAATTCCTAACTGAAATTCAATGTACATTTTTTGACAGTTGAGTTTATCCTTACTGAATATTAAAAAAAAACTGAGTTATTTTATTCCCTATTTATCGGAAATTTAAGTAGTTTGGCAGGAGAAATCCTAACATGTGACCTGGCTTATCCTTGCCGGAATCTACCTGCCATTCTAATTTACAATGAAAATATAACTAGCTAACGAATTTTATGTTAACACGAAGGGCTTAAGTAGCCAGAATTTTGCACTATCTAAAATTCGGGTAGTTTCAGTGCATGCAACTCCCGAAATGGCCCTTAATGGTGGTCAAAGAGCCGGGTAATCACCGCCAGGACATGCAACTCACTTCCTATCTGCTGGGCAACCTCCTGCCATCCATTGAGGACATCGGAGCGGCGTCGCTGGTTTGGCTGCAGTTTGTAGTTGTAGAGGGCTGGATTCTGGCGCACCAGGTTGATCAGCGTAAGGATGTCGTCTGTGGGCGCGTTGTCCTTGTGGTAGCGCTTGCGCTCTGACGTCGACGAGGACATGTTGCTTCACTGGGGCTGTTGGTGCTGTCGCTGCTGGTGCTGCTGCTGCTGATGATGATGCTGCTGATGCTTCTGGTGCCGATTCACTGGACTTGTGCTCCTGATCCGGATCTGTATCTTGATCCGATCCGTATACTCACGATCCTGCTGCTCACATCTAATTGTTTTGTTTTTGTTTACCCAGAAAAAGAGCGATTTTCGATAGTTCTCGTTGAGATGCACACTCACATGCACACACACTTCCACACACAGTTGGAATTGTTGTGTAGGTGTAAAAACACGCACTCACACACCCCTGCACACTCGATATGAAGGGATAGCGAGTGTGTGCGGCAGGATCTTCTCCTTTTGGTATATCCGCCACTCAATCTTCTCCAGAAACCAATCCTCCACCACGGGCTTTTGCTAGAACTCTGCGAATTTTCCCAGCTCCGATGCTCTTGCTTTGCTTTTTTGCTATTGCTTTTTTTTAGCGTTGCTTATTTCGCGCTAGAGATGGCACATCGCACAATTGGCGTTCGTCTCACACTCACGGCTTTCAAAAAATCACGAGAATAAATTAGCTATGGAGAGAGTCCTTTTCATTTGGAAAATATGGATAATATCTTAAGGATTTCCCAAGCCGCTATATGTTGATTATTATAGATTTTGTTGGCGCTTAAGCCGTTTTTTAATTAAAAGTGTTTTGATTTCTTGAATAACTGTTTTGGCTTCACATATAAAATTCGTGTTTAAAAAAGTTGGTGCGATTTTTTTTTGCAAAAGGTAAAGAATGCATTGCATATTTACCGCTATACAGCGGGTGTTGTAGGAATTCCTATCAAAGTGATCCCAAGTACCTTTCAAAGTTCATATCGCACCCAATTTCCTACCTTTCGAATCATGCCCATTGCTTTTAAACGATAGGAAATGGTTGGTCTTTTATTGAATTCACAACAATTCAAAATATGAATATATTTAATTTTTTTCCAAAAATTGAATTAAGTAAATCAAAATGGGTAGTTTCTCTTAAACATATGGCATTGTATTAAATGTTATATACTGGTATTCTAGATTTATTTGTTTTATATATTGAAGTGAGCTCAATAAAACAAAAACTTAAAATAAAAATAATTATGAACATTAGTTTTTAAAGTAATTAATTAATTAAATAAATTTAATTATATTAAATTAAGTATTTGAATCACGCTTTTAAGCAGCGTTGCACAGCAATCGATAGGAAACTATCGATAGCTCGGCGCACATGCAAGTCTGCGTTTATTTTTTTTGCTCCTCACCCGAAAAAAAAACAAATTGTAAATTAGCCGCAAAAAGCAGAGCAATTGTTAATGATAATGAGCACGCCGGCGAAAAATAACAATGGAACCGGACTGGAGGACGTGAATATTCCAGGACAGGCGTACCTGCGCGAAGCCTTGACCTCCTGCACGGATCCTTTGAAGGCCATCGAGAGTTTCCAGGTTTGTTTACGTTGCACCTGAAATGGGCGCGAAAAGTTTGCACGATTTTCACCTTTATCCGCCTGGTATTTTCAGCTCGAAAATGGTGTCCTGCTGCCCTCACTGCGTCCCATGTTGCCTTTACTCGATCTGCACGGAGTGCGCCGCCTGGACTTCCACACATCGCTGATGGAGGAGCTACGCGACAAGCTGATTGCCCACATCAACGAGATGGGCCAAAAGGAGCCGCGCGAACGGGACAAGAAGCTCAAGGAGCTGCTGGTCAAGAGCTTCCCCGTCGTCCGGGTGAAGTCCCTGCGCCCGGTGGTCATGGCCATTCTGCGGAATACCCAGCACATCGACGACAAGTACCTCAAGATTCTTGTGCGGGATCGTGAACTGTACGCGGATACGGATACGGAGGTCAAGCGACAGATCTGGCGGGACAATCAGTCACTATTCGGCGACGAGGTGTCGCCCCTGCTGTCGCAGTATATTCGCGAGAAGGAGCACATCCTGTTCGACCATACCAACCTGAATAATCTGTTCTTCCAGCCGACGCCCAAGGTGCGAAGGCAGGGGGAAGTGGTCCAAAAGTTGGCCAACATGATTGGAACTAGCGTCAAGCTGTACGACATGGTGCTGCAATTCTTGCGCACACTATTCCTGCGCACCCGCAACGTTCACTACTGCACGCTGCGGGCGGAACTATTGATGGCCTTACACGATCTCGAGGTGCAGGAGATCATCTCGATAGATCCCTGCCACAAGTTCACCTGGTGTCTGGACGCCTGCATCAGGGAGAAGAACGTGGACATTAAGCGTTCCCGGGAGCTGCAGGGATTTCTGGACAACATCAAGCGCGGCCAGGAGCAGGTCTTGGGTGATCTCTCCATGACCCTGTGCGATCCGTATGCCATTAATTTCCTGGCCACGTCGGCCATCAAGATATTGCACCATTTGATCAACAATGAGGGCATGCCGCGCGACAATCAGATACTCATCCTTCTGCTGAGAATGTTGGCCTTGGGCTTGAGCGCCTGGGTGATGATCGATTCGCAGGACTTCAAGGAGCCGAAACTGGACTGCCAGGTGGTCACCAAGTTTCTGCCCGCCCTCATGTCACTGATGGTGGACGACCAGTGCCGCAGCTTGCATGCCAAACTGCCGCCGGATGAGCGTGAATCGGCGCTGACCACCATTGAGCATTCGGGACCGGCACCGGATGCCGTGGAGGCCTACATTCAGGAGAGTTCTGTGGCCAGCATACTGGCCATGTACTATACGCTGCACACGGCACGGCTGAAGGATCGTGTGGGTGTGCTGCGCGTGCTGGCCATTCTGTCCGCCTGCAAGGACGATCGGGCCTACGAGGATCCCTTCCTGCACTCGCTGGTGAGCACTTGTAGACCATCTTAGCCAGGGAAATGCAATGCAAAACTCATGCATATCCATTCACAGATCGCCTTGCTCATCCCAATGAGCGAGGAGTTCGCCACGGAGGACTTCTGCACCACGCTCTTCGACGAGTTCATCTTTGCCGGACTGACGCGCGAGAATGTGACGTCCCGTCACATGCTGAAACTGCTGTGGTATGTGCACAATAAACTGCCCGCCGGTCGCCTGGCCACATTGATGAAGGCCATGCAGCCGACGTCGGCTCACAACGAGCACATCCACAAGCTGTACGAAACGCTGCAGGAGAGGATTGGCACTGGGGCGGCAGAGACGCCGGTCATTGAGGCGCCGCCCATGGAGTTTGATTCACCGCTTAAGAGTGTGCCCACACCGGGACCACATTACAATGTCCAATAGCTAGAGGCGCCGGCAGTCGCACCGCCAGCGGCTGTCGTCGGATGATGATCGTTGATAAAGGTGATGATGGTGATGATGATGATGATGATGATCGGTGGCCAGTCATGTGGTGTCGCCTTCTTCTTTACTTCTGAGCAGCCGGCGGGATGGTAATCCCCATTTAGCATACATGCGCAAATCATAATTATACATTTTAGACTAAGCAGCAAACTCTGCAGCCGAGCAATCGGATATAGTTTACATATTTACAAATGTATGGCTTTGTTAGCAGGCAATCAATTTGTTGTCGCTGGCTATTATATATATTATATATTACTGTTACGCTAGTGTAACGATCGGATCTAGTACACAATATAGAGTACAAATCTAAGAGCTCGTTTTTTTTTTTTATTTGCATGTGTGTAAAAGAAGTATTTGAACCCTAAATGGCTAGAATGAAAACAAAGGTGTATAATTGTTTCTATCAGTTCAATTTTCACTCAATTTTAATGCTTTACATAACTGATCTCTTTTTTTTGGGCAGGAAGAATGCAAAGTTCCTAATATGATTAGGTACAAAAGGTTTTACACTTACACGCTTATAGCTTACAGAGGAAAAACCGAAATGAAAAGGGTTTTTAGGGATAGGAGTCTTTCTTTCATCTGATGTTTGAAATGTTTCAGCGGCTTTGGAACTGGAAACTGGAGCTGCTCCCGCTGATGTGGAGGCAGCTCCTCCTCATTGTACGGGGAACGTGTCCAACGGAGGTAGATGGAAATTGGGGCCGACGACAACAGCTCATCCATGCAGACGTTGGCCAATTCTAGGGCTTAGATCTCGGGCGACAGACTAGGCGCTGGCGGGGGCGCTGACAGTGATGAGGATGAGGATGAGGAAGATGAGGAGGAACCGGAATTGGAGGAGGATGAACCTGAGGATGATACGGAGCTGCTGGTTGTGGTGGTGTTCGTAGTGCCAGTGCCAGTTGTTACAATCGTTGGTGATCCTTCTTCGGGTGCCACTTCTTTTTCAGTCACCTCTTCTCCAGCTGCCTCATCTCCAGTGGGCCCTGCGCCCGGAGATGATTCAGCCGACGAGGCAGCCTTGGACTGTGGAATGGCGGGCGTGGCAAAGATATCCTTTTGCCTTTCAGATTTGCACTCCCTCAGCAGCTCCACGTATTCCGAGTGCAGGCGCTGCCATTCGGAATGTGGCTTCAGCGTGTCCAAAACGCACTGCATTAACTCCAACTTTGGCACGAACTAAAGAGGGATAGAGATATATATATAAACATATGATTATCCTTTAAAGCTACACAGCATACCGGTGATAAACCCGGCTCTGGAATGCTCAGCAGATCGTCCAGGAACACACGCATCCTCTTTTCGGAACCGTGGGTGGCCAGCTGAAAGGTGAGCACCTTGTGCCAGTGCTGCAGTTCATCCAGCGATTGGAGGGCTTCGCACAGCTTGATCTGGTTCTCAATAAACCTGATTTTGGCACTCTGCTGCCAGCTCTCCGCATTCCTCCTAAAATATAACGATTTATAGATAGTCAAAGGAACACAATAGAATAGAATCACATACAGCTCCATGCCGCCAGTGAAACAAAAGTAATTCTGACTGCTGGCCTGCATGCTGAGGAGGGGAAACTTTTGCTGCATTTGGTCCATGTCCCTGGGCAGTGTGCCCCGGATGCCGTGGTACATGATGGCATCCTTGGTGGCCAGCACCAGCCACGATTCCAGGCTCGTCGAATAGGAGTACGAGTTGCCGCTGGGGAATCCAATCAGCGGCATGCCCTGATCCGTAACCGAAAACTGTACGGCCGTGCCATGTTTATTGAGCAGCTCCATGCAGCCCGCCGCCAGGCTGATGACCTTCCTGGCGATGTGCCATATCCGCAGCAGTCCGCACTCGGTCAGCACACCCACCAAACTGTTGTCCGGACTCTGAAAACATGTGCGATTAGCTATCGGGTTGGTTTTAGTTTCCATTTTCACGATTAGATTTTGTTAAAAACAATCATTGGATATCTTAACAGTTTTTCGAAAGATTTAAAGTAAAGAAGATCATTACAAATGGGAAATAATTTAAGGAAACAGTTATTTGCAGAATCAAATCGTGAAATAGTTGCTTTATAGCCATATGTAAATGCTTGTTATCCGGACTCACAAAAGCGCAGTGCACTGCAGAACTGGTCAGCGAGATGGCCGGAAAAACTGGGCAGCCGGTCTCCATGGAAATCAGTCGCATGCTCCCGTCCAGGGAGCACAGCATGGCGTATTTTCCACACAGATTCAGATTGACCACCGGCGATCCGACGAAGAATTCCCACAGCATTTCCTTGGAATCCGAGGCGGTGACCTTGGCCAGCATGCCGTGATTTGTCTTTAGATAGCCATTCTGGACATGCACACGATAGTCCAGGGCGGCCTTCACAAACTCACTCTTGCCATTGACCGTGACGTTCAGGTTGCTGGGTCCGTTGGTGCTACTTTGGTGCTCCTCCAGTTGCGGCGGACGTGGAAATTCACTGCTCTGGCCAGGATCGAAGGGTAGCGATTGCCGGCGTTGGTTGGCGGGTTGCGTCTTCAGTCGGGAATCCAGGCGACCCAAATCCGCCTTACTCACCAGTGGTTCCAGTGGCATGAGGGGCGTGGCAGCGCCCTCCGTTGGAGCCGCACACGTAACAGCACCGCCCGCCACCGAGCTGGATGTGAGTGCTGTCGCCGCCGATCCACTGCTACTGGACACTATGTGCGTGCTCAGCGATGTAGGTCCCTCCTCGTGCAGCGGTATGAACATGGGCGTGATCCTTCGCTTGCCATCCTTGGTCCTCGTTTCCGTCTGTTTGCTAATGGGCCGCTGGTTGGCCTCGCTGCTGCTGCTGCTGCTGGACGGGAACTTGACGGGTTTGGAGCCGCAACGCTGCGGATGCTCCATGGGTGCCGTGTGACCGTTGCCATAGCTGGCGCCATACATTTTCGTTATGATGTTATTCTGCTCCTCGGCGGAGAGGGCCGTGCCGAGCTCCTCCTGGGAGAACTTCAAGCAGGCAATGCTGCCGTCACCGCTGCAGGCCATCAGCAGGCACTCCTTTGGGCCCCAGGACAAGTCGAGGATGCTGTCGTTGAACAGCTCGTGGATGACGATCATGGGCCGCTGGAAGACGTTCATCCACACGGACAGGGAACGATCGCGCGAGCCCACAGCCAGGCAGCAATATTGCAGCGACTTGCACGGACTGCCATCGTTGACCTGACGCCTCAAAATCGAATTGTGAAAACGCACACAGGTGACGGCCTTGCGGTGACCCACGAAATCTTTGTCACACTTCCAGCCCTCGCGTTCGATGATCTGTGCAGTGGGGCCACCGCCGTTCATGGCATGTGCCGAGACCAGGTACTGGCCATCCGGTGACCACGAGAGCCTCAGGATGTGCGTGGTGCCGCCGCACTCCTCAAACGGTTCGGTTATCGTGTGCGTGAGGTTCCAGTCCGCCGTGCTCCAGATCTTCACACTGCGATCGTCCGATTGCGAGGCCAGAAAGTGGCCAACCGGATCCCAGGATACGCCCTTCACCAGGCCCGTGTGTCCCTTTAGAGTGGCCACCGAGTGGGGAAAGGCCTGGGCATTCCAGATGATCACCGTGTTGTCAATGCTGCAGCTGGCCAAGTATATGTCGTTTGGGGACCAGGCCAAGTCCAGGACATCGCCATCATGGCCGCGCAGCGTGTGAAAGCATTTCCACGATTCGTGGTTCTTTTGCATGCCGCCGGTGCCGAAAACGCCGCTCGATCCCGCACATTTGCGCCAGATCATGATGAGCTTGTCATCGGAGCCGGAGGCCAGATTCTGGCCATTCTGCGACCAGCGCACACAGTTGACACAGGCCAAATGCTGGTCCATTTGGCACAACATCTTCGGCACCTCTGCATCCGATTCCGCCTTTTCGGAGAGCACCGGCAGCAGATTCCAGATGACCACGCGTCCACAGTCGCTGCCCTGGCCGCCGGTCGCGAATTTTGTGCAATCCTGATGGATATCCACCGAGAATATCTGTTTGTCTGCCGGTTAAAATGCATTCATTACAGGGATTTTAATTGCAAAAGCGCGAATATTTTGCCGGTTCGGGGTTTTTGTTTTTGTTTTTTGGTTTGCGCAACTCACCATCGTGATGCACCCAAGCCGGCTTGAGGAGCCGCATTTACAATAGACTAATAAATAATTATTCTTTGATATACAATTGAACTTGGGAACTTGGGTTGACCTAATAAGTTTAACTAAACTAAATAAACAGCTTTAAAACAGCTTGTTGCGTGTGGCCGTAGCTTTTTGTCGACAGAATACCAAAAAACTAAAATATTACAGTTGCGATTTTCACAACTGGTCACACTACAAATGGCGGGTGTTTCAACATTTCCTTTTAAAAATGTTTGCCCAAAAAGTGAAGGAGTGAGAAAAAGATTTGTGTCAACAATTTGAAAGACACCAGTACAAAAAATTCCATTTGCAATAAAATGAATTTATCAGTAAAAAAAATCCTTAAGAGAAATATTTGTTTTTGTGTTCAATATGCTATTATGTAGCTCATGCATCTAAAATGGTCGAAAATTTGAAATTCACAACAAAATTAATAATCCCCATGCATTTAAAATATAGAAAATTGAAAACAAATTTAAGTATTATTTTGTTTAAATACTGTAAAAGCCAAATTGAGCAACAATAAGTAACTGAAATGACAACATTTTAGACAACAAAATTTATTTTAATTATGGAAAAAAAATGTTGGTTAGAAAAAGACTGATAAGAAAAATGTTGTGGGTGTATCTAGAATCTAGATATTTTCAATTCGATTAATACCATATTATTACCATGTCACTGAAGTTAAAATCCTTTAATGTATGTATAACTGTCCTTAAATGAACTCAAGTTTTATAAACCTATTCTACCTTTTTTAATTCCTTTGCCGGTTAAAAAGTTTCATTTAAAACAATTGAAAAAAAACAGCAGGTTTTCTTTTTGATTATAACCCCTCCCCCTTTTAGGCACCTTTCCTCTGATAGGAGCCACTTTTCTACTTTCTTTTTTTGCATAACTGCCTGGTGGGTGGAGTAAAGCTAACGAAAGGAAACGAACAGCGAGAAAAGCGGCAGCCAAAACACGAAAGTTTTCCTAAGCGCTTGGCTGTCATTGGTCTCCATATTTCGTGGGCGTGGTTGGGGTTAAATTGGGAAATGGGGGATGGGGGATGGGATCGAATGAATCCAAATAAGACAAATATTTTGTGAAGAAGAACAACAACTTAGCTGGGAAATTGCTTTTGCAAAATTCCACATTTGCTTAATTTGCATACATGAAAATTGTCGCCAAATATATTGTTTGCTTATTTGTTTGTTTGCATAGAACTCATCCCCGATTTGCGCCCATGCAAATCTCAAGCCACAAATTGACTGACAATAGGGGACTAGAATTGTCTCGTCTCAATAAAGTGAAAAGCGATTGAAGGCAGTGTACGAGCACACTTTACCTGGGACAATTTGCAATCCAACGCATCTGTCGCCGGCAACATGTGGCGTCAATGATGTTCCTCTAACATTCCCCCAATTCCTCGCTTTTCAACCGATTTTCCACAGTTCTTTGCCGCCTCCCCCCGATTTTCCCATCCATTTTCCCACCAAATTTCTCCGGCCCATTCTCAATGCCACTTGACAATTGTCAACAAAGCGCACGTAAAGCGATTACAGTCTGCGTGAGTGCAGGGAAATGGAAATGGGTGTGTGGAAATGGATCCTGCTCCTGGGATTCACACTGCATGGACATCTTTTGTGGCACTCTGTGTATCTGACGGATATTTGGCAAATCCGATGCCAGCGGCACTTAAGCTCCTCAAGATTGTTCACATTGTCAAACATAAAAGATGGGGTTTTTTCAGGGAGGGCAGCCATTATGCGGTGGATATATATTCATGAAGGCATTGCGAGGATCGACTTTCCACTTTTTACAAAACATATTATTTGAAATGTTTATAAATTCTTATCTACAAGCTTTATGGCCAGGTTATAATTACATTTTATCAATATTAAGTTAAATCAATGCAAATAATGTAATCAATTGACTTATTATAATTCGTTTCGTAATCATTCTAATTTTTAAACGATAAATTGTCTATTATTGAAATATGTATACATATTTTAATTAAAAAAAAAAACAAAAAAATTATATCCTCAAATTAAAATTCTTATATAATATAAAAAAAAAAATTTAATCATAATCAATTGGACTTTAAGCTTTGGAAAACTACTTTATGTCTGACCCTTTCAATGCAATCAATATATTAAAAAATAATGGAATGATGAAAAAAAAACATTTAATTTTATATCACAATTTAATGATAATTAAATTAATATAATCATTGTACACGTAATCCGAAAAGCCTTATAGATATGTTTAATTGCTCTTACAATTTTTAAAAAGACTATACAACTTTCGGGGTCAATAAGTAAAATTTGAAAAGTAATATTTAAATATTTATCTAATTTACTGACACAACCGTAGAATAACAACTACAAAATCATTTTGAAATAAAATCTACACCCAACCAAACAGGAAATAAAATTCTAATTTAATTAATGCAAAACTCGACCAAAAAAGTTTCAAATATCCCGCCCACTAATTCATTAGCCGCAGCCCAAAGCACATTTTTTTTTTTGTTATTTTGGGAAAAAGAAAAAGGAAATCTTTTTGGGCCTGAGCCCAAAAATCAAACCCACGAAAAGCTGGCGACTTGATTGTCCTTGATGGATGGATGGAATGGATGGATGATGGACGTTCCACCAACCAGGAACCACTCATAATGGAGAATGCTGGGTGGAGAATGGAGAATGGAGAATGGAGAATGGGGAATGGAGGGTGGTGCGGCGCTAAAAGCAAATGACAATCAGCGGGGAGAGCGGCAAACATTTAACAAAAAGACAAGAAACAAAGTTTAAAATCTAAAAAATGGGAAGAAGATGGGGAGGCTAAGAACGGTGGCACATTGCAATTTACATGCAAACAAATAAAACCACCCACCACCCAACGTATGGCCTTCCCTTTCGCACCGCTTTGTTTGCTTTCACCACCCAACCACCTCAAACCTTCTGTCTGTCTATATGTCTGTCTATCTGTCTGTCTGTCTGTCTGTCTGTCTGTATATATATATATATATATGTGTGTATGTTCGTTCAACATTTCAATCAACGCTCGAGTGAAATGTGAAAAAAAAATCATAATAAAAGCAAGGATAATATGGCAAGCGAGTGGTTTGGAGGAAGTGGTGCCGCCGCCCAAGCGGAAATGGATGCGCATCACAAAAGTGGCACAAATTGTGTGGCATGTGTGGAGAAGTGGCATGCAGCCTTAAAAAGCGACGAAGATATAGTTTCTTTAAATTGTAAATAAAAAACATAGTGGTTTTTTCAAAGGTTAAAACACAAATCAGAATCGAACATGCCAAAAACCCAAAAACTTCAACTATTTCAGTAAAAAGCCAACTGCTATAATCAGTTTGTCTTCTCAGCGTTCTTAAAGATGAAACAATTCTATATTATCGAAATATAATATTTCTTATTTATTATTATAATCTCTAAATATATTTACACTTAAATACATGTTACAAAATTTTATGTGATTCATTTAGTTTATAAAATATATTACAAAATTTAGAACAAAAAAATTTATTTTGAGTTACAACTATATAGAATGACGGCATTTCTAAGATATTTCTAAGAGATTTTTTTAAGCCCCCCTAATTTTTATAGTCAGCGATCTTCTTATTTCGTTCAAAAAGTTGAATTTTGTCAAAATTCGACTCCTTTTGGCCACCTGAAATGGCAACTTTCGGATGGGAATCCCCGCTGCAACAGCCGCTGTTACACGCTGGAAAACCAAGTACCCTTCTCAAATGGATTGCCATAACAACCATTAACCGAGATACATTTAAAATCTCGAGCAGAGTCCAACCAAAACTGGTAAAAAAAAAAAAATGTAGTGGAAGGGAAATGCGACGACCAGAACCAAATCCAAAGTGTAAACATTCACAGCCTCCGTTTGGCGAGGGAAAAGCTCGGTTTTGGTGTGGGCTGTGTTGGGTGGTTACGGGCGCTAGACAATGCTGAATGCCCCACCCAATAACCACATCCACACCCACACACCCATACCCACCTCCCTGCACAGCAACAGCAACAGCTTCCTTCCGTGCTGACGTTTGATGTGCAGCCATGGAAGCTTTATATTTTTGTATTTTTTTTTTTTTTCGTAAAAGACTGCGAGATGGTGGCAAACACGCAACCAACGTGTGGCCACAGCTAACAACTACTGCAAAAAAAAAAATGAACAAAATGCGGTATTTATTTCAAACAAGCTCAGCACAGCGAACTGAAAAAAAAAAGGAAAACAGTTCACAAAAAGAAACACGAGTTTTCCAATGCCTTTGCTCCGGATTCTGATACTATTGCCTATGGCAAGCTGCACACATACACAGAGAAAAAATATGCGAAACCAAACAAAAATTAAAAAACAAATTTTTGTAAGTTCTTCAACTCCACGGTGAAAAACTTTGTATTTACCGTTTATTATAAAAATTATTTTAAATAGTTGAAAGTGACATTTTTTATTTGAAAGTTTAAGGACACAAGTTCAATTCTATAATGAAGCGTTGTAATTTTTTGTATTTTTTTTTTTCAAATTGTATTCAACTTGAAGCAGTAGTGGTGTTATATATCACTAGTTAAGAGCGATCTTTAGTAAATATAACACATAACAAATATTTAAATAGTAGAGAGCAATCATAAGTTCATATAAATGATATACATTGCACAATTTTTTGTCAGTGTCTTCCACACACAGACACCCGATGCAATTGCTTGGCAACAGCTTGTGGGGAGGTGTCGCTAATGAAGTCGCAAACAGTCGGTGGCAGCAAAAAATTAAGCAAAGAAAGTAACGCAACGTTCTACATATCCAACCGCATCCGCATGCCTTCATTGTAATAGAAATTATAAGCTTATCCTCCAACCCATGGTCTCCCCGTCTCTTGGTTGAGCAGTCGTTTTAGCAACACGTTGCCCATAGCCAAGGATTGCATCTATTGTTCCATTGGCAACATCCGCCACAGGATGGTAATTGAAAACGGGCAACGTTGCTCGAGAATTATGCGAACCAATTTTAAAATTCAGCATTGCTATATTAATATCCCACATTTGAAACCAATTTCAAAGCCTGGAGCTAGTTACGCTGAACAATTTGTAATATTCCATAACATTTGGGTTCTCCCGGGTTA